TTGCAACTAGTTGCGGCTTATAAAATTTTGGAGTTGCAACGTGTTGCAACAGGTGACAAATAAGCATCACATACTTGTTGCGTCATCTCTATTCGGAACACTATATCTAATTAAAACACTATTATCTTATTCTTTTCCCCTCTCGAACTATAACAATTTCAGTAGAAATTGGCATAGGACTTAGATATTATTTCTTATATTTGTTTAATTATCTCTCCCAACCCTTGTTCACATTTATTAGCTAATTACCCTATCAGTGAAAAATGTGTAACACTATCTCAGCATCCAGTGATCGATGAAATTATAGCTTATTGAATTCGTCTCATCGAGACGAATATAATATTGTTTCATCTCGATAGAAAGGATATTTGTCGAGATAACATTTCGAAATTTTAATTAAAATTTTCGGGTCGTCAGTTCAACTATCTTACCCGACCTCGCATTTTCCTGGTCAGGTCATCAAGTAACCCGAATCATCAGTTTCCATAATCTTTACATCACCAACTGTAATTTGTCAGGTGAACTTCAATGATTCTGGTGTAGAAACAGGAATTCTGATCAAAAGCGGAGGTCTAGTCAGCTCTCCTTTGTCATCATTATTCATATTTGCATTTTGTGCGGAGTCAAAAGAATTAAATATCGAATAAGTATGCAAGTTTTGTGTACTCACACTGGAAAAGAATTCTGATATTGTTTCAGGTCTGGGAGGTCGAGGTGGGGACGGAAAACTGCTGGGTCATAGTGCTGTAAATGGAGTGCTACTTATATTTATTGGTGGCAGCTCGCTGCTCCTTCATTTTCCTTTGTCTTTTACTTCTTTTGGTGACGTTGCTTTGCGTTTTCTACAATACAAAAATGCAATAATAACAAGCGCTGTGGTTCCTTTTACGATCCCACCAATTATTGCTGGCTTTTTATCTTTTGGCATTCCTTGTGTCGATGAAGATTTAGAGAATGTGGGTAACCAGTCTGGCAACGTATGATGATACCCAATTGTAGGTTTTATTAGAGATTTTTAGTATGCTTATCTGTTTTTTATCAACCAGAGTACTAGCGCTAGAATTTAATGTTTGTATTGCTTCTATTAGAATCATAAGTAAATAGAAATCAATATAAAATCAAACTTGCAATTCCAGAGTTAAAGAAAGAAAAATAATACAAACCAAATGCCGCAATCATATGATTATTATGCAAAGTAGCTGTATGCGAAAAAGGAGCAGAACTAGGTGAATTTTGTAGTTGTGGACTTGTCCATTTCCATGTGGATACATATAGCACAGCTAATGCATCTTCTGTTATCAAGGGAAGTTTTGAATATCCACCATATATTATCATTTTGTTGTTTGGAGCTATTTTGAAATAAAAATTTTTTCTATTTATTATCTAATCAAAATTCATATGTTGTCAAAAGATATTTTTGATGGATAGAAGTAAAAATCGACTTTTCAGAAGAAAATAACAATTACTTTTAGTGCCCAATCTGCATCAACTGCATCATAAATCCAAGAAAAATTAATTAATTTAATAACCCACAAAATACATCTCTTAAATTAACGATAATCACACACATTATTCATATCAATAAATGAACCATTTGAATTTTTCCCTCCAATAAACACAATTCTGCGATCGTCGTCCAGCAACGTAGCCGAAAAGTCAAACCCAGGAAAATTTGAAATATCGATGTTTTTCAAGTTCGAGAAAGTTTGACTCGTCCATAAATTAGTTTTTGTGTTAAACTTGTACATTGAGAAATCGTTGGTACCTCGAGTGGGCGCTGAATCTCCTTCTGTTGAACCACCAAAAATAAACATTTCTCCTGCTTTGCTTATTACTGAATTGAGATTACGACGGCCTTCTGGTGGCGCTTGATTCGATAGTTCTGATGTTGTCCAGATATCGTCGAGATATACATCAGTAACGTATATTTTTCTATTGACTACAATTGTGTCATCTTGATTTCTCTAATTCAGTACGAGGAAAAAAAATCAATTATTTCTCTTTGAATCTGAACTAAATATTCTTTTTAAGTCGAAAAATACCGACTTGAACTCCACCGAATTTTGGAACTGTTAAAAAAAACTGCTGTTCCCCAAGCCAAAGAAGAATTATGAGATGTTCGATTAATAAGTTGAAATTTATCAAGTGTCGAAGTATCGAAATCTTGTCCCAAATCTAAATAAAAATAATCCGGATAGAAATCGCTGCCGATGGGAGTTCCACCAACAAAATACAATTTCTCATTAATAAGTGTTACCGTTTGAGCATATCTTGGTCCAGGACTATTCGAAGACGATAGACTTTTCGTCTCAAATGATAATGTGAGAACAAGAAAAAAATAAATTGCTAATAATGAATTTCTTATTCTCAATGGAAACATTTAAGTTGACGTCGATGTTCCAATAAAATATATAAACGACAACGATGGAACGACGACTAATAAATGCTAATGAATTATAACGCTAGACGAATAGATTATTAAAGAGTACAGTACATGTATATATAGAATATGCATTTCTTGTTTGTTATGGTAATCAGCTTTTTGTTGTTGTTATCGTTGTCACTTTTCATTATTATTAGTTTATTGTCGTTATTCTTATTTTTATGTGCAAATCATCTTTGTTTTTGCAATTTATTAGGGCAAAACTGTTGCCCTTCATTTACGTGATTCCAAATTTGACAGTAAACAAAATTTGTGTAACCACGAGTGATTTTGCTATGACAACGGAAACTTCGCTATCATTACGTAACGATACATGTAATAAGATTTCTAAAAAAGAATCTAACGATTGACACGAAAATTCTTTCAATTACAAGCAAAAAACGAGTAAATATAGTTATTTTTGTTGGTCTCGAAACTTTTATAAACAATTTTTATATAATGTTTCCTTATAAAGAAAACTGAATGTGGGATATTTATAGGCAATGTGATTTTAAAATACTCTTGGAGAGTAATTTGTCCATAAAAGCTTGCGCTATTTTTCTGTTTTTATAGCTTGTGTGGATATGACATATGGCTAGGCTCAGAAAAAAGATGGTTCTTGTTATCACAAAAGTAATAAAAGTACTTTGAAAAAAAATTATTTGACGCAATTCCGAACGAATAATATGCGAAGCAGAAAAATATTGACTATATAATTGAATTTATATTATCTAAATCTAACTCATACCAAAAATTATCTACGTAATCATAAACTTACTCAAATGGCTAAAGATTAATTTTACACGAACGGTAATGTGCAAATATTATTATATAGTTCATGCTGTGAATATAATTAAACTCTTCTACGATTGTCTTCATCAAAAACTTTTTATACAAAAAAGCGGGCCCAAATCAAAGAATTACCATACTTTCTAATGAAAAATGTTTACAAGATCACGATATTCCCGAACGGGTAATTATGCAACTTATAACGATAAGTCACAAGAGTGTCAAAGAATTCGTGCTTATAAAAGATCAACAACTTTGTACATGTACTTTAAATATTACTGATGGACCGTCTAGCAATAATTCTTCAAGAAATAATTCTTCAAGAAATTACTTATAATGCTAATACCGATATTAAAAATTTATTCCAAACACCTATTTTTCATGATTATACTTTTTCGAATGTTTCCTCTTATATTAATATTAAACATCAAATTGTGTCATTATTAAATCAGCATTTTAAAATATCAAAGACCCCATACAATACAATTTTTATATTTAGCGGACTTGTAAAAATGTCCGCCGTGAAAATATCAGTAAAAAAAGTCACAGGCTAATGATCAGGAACCGTGTAATAAATGTAATTATGAAATACAGTCGAACCTATAAGAAAATACGCAGAAAATATAGGAAAACGTCGTCTGATATGTTCGTAAAAGACACGTAAATGGCCACTTTTTACGTGTATTTTACATACATATAATGCGTAATTGAGTATGAAAATAGCCTTTTATATACGCGATTTGCGTGTAAAACACGTAAAAAGTGGCCGTTTACAGACATATCAGACTTTTCGTATATTTTCATACAAACATATTACGTGCAAAGTTTCAATATAGTCGCATTTTGTCAGTTCGCTGCTTCTTATGAAACAGACCTTCATATACAATCTCTTTATAATCATAGTTTCTCATATCTCAAGGATATGGTTATAGGGAGGTCAGATTGTATCCGGATTTAATTAGGAAATATCTGGATTTTATTAGGTGATTCATTTTCCGAAAAGTGTACAATCCTATTGCTATTTCTGATCTAAAGTCAACATTGCTTATAAAGATATGTCTAAAATCTACATAAAAAATATTATGAGGAAACAGGTCATTTCAACTTGGCTTCGCTTAATATATGTCTTACTTCAGTCGAATGTTCATGAGCAATTAAATCACGTTTGACTGCTTCTAATACATGTCTTACTTCAGTTGAATGTTCATGAGCAATTAAGTCATGTTCGACTGCTTCTGGTCCATGTCTTACTTCAGTTGAATGTTCATGAACATTTAATTCATGTTTATGCTTTTGACGACGCCTATATAACACAAAAGCTATTACCCCCATCAAACTGAGAATTCCAACTGAGCTGAGTACAGTGCCAATAATTATACTAGGAGGAACGGAAGTCGAAGAGTTAGTATTTGGGGGTGTTATTGGTATATTCGAATTCGGCGAAGTTGGATCCGTACTCTTTATATATCGATATTCGTTGACCCAAGTATATGTGTCATTATCTATGCTCAGAATTGTCAAGTCACTGCTTCCTTGTCCTGCAACATTATAATCGCCTATCAATAAAATAGAAATTTATTATTGAGAAAATGGAATTAACAAATTCAAAAGTTAATAAGTTACCAAATGCAACAATCATATACTTTTGGAATAATGTTGCAGTTGCGTATGCAGGTATTCGTGTAGGTTGATTTATTCCATTGATTTGTTTCCATATGAATGTTCTGGTATCTAATACGAAAAGTGCAGTAGTCGTATCGATGCTTGGTTTGCCTATTCCTCCGTATATAATAATGCTATATCCATCTGAAGCTATTATAAAATAATCTATATTAGATTTTATTTATTTAAAATATGTAGATCGAATTTGAATACGTAGTTTTACCAAGTACAGCTGCATGACCTCTTCGGTTTGGAATCATAGTATCGTTTTTAGCGTTCTTAACGAAGAAAAATCAGCGAATCGAATAAATCAAAAAGCGAAGTTTATTTACACTAAAAAAACACCTACACTAATTTTCCACGGAGAAGCTTGGGTTACATTAGTGTCATATATCAAAACCTAGAATAACTACAATTAGTTTATTATCAAAATACACAATAAATAAAAGCTCTTGAACAATTCTTACTTGATTTATGTCTGCTGCTGATACAGAGTTATTTGACGAGGTCACGTTACCACCAATAAAAATAATACGACCATCTGGTAAAAGCGTTGCAGAATAACTGAACCTTGGTTCGGGTGCATTTGGTGGCGTAACTCTAGCCCAAGAAGATGTCGTCGTATCATAAATGTACATTGTTTTATCGTATAGTCCAGTAAGATCAACCATTCCGCCCCATATGTATAATTTTCCTTTACCATCTATTACAGTTCTTGTATTTGTTCGAGCGCTTGGATTGCCAGCAAGATTTGTAGAAGCAGAAGACCATGTAGCTGATGCATTTGCATTTGAGATATTGATCATATACAATGTGTCGCTATCTTGATATGTTCCTGAATCTGGGCGCTATTTTTATTATATATAAAGTTTTAAATAAAATTTATAGGAAATAAATCAACGAATTAATAACTAGTTTACCCTTCCACCAAACAGTATTATTTCTGAGTCAATTGCACAATCCGCTGCATATTGTATTGGTGGGAAATTTGCAAGCGTATCGATATTCGTGTATGAAGGTGAGCTTGTTGTGAAATTCGCAGAAAGGTCAAGATAAAAGAACTGATCAATAATAGGATCTTGAGAACCTCCAAGATAATATATTTTTTGATTGATTAGTGCTGAAATGTGTCCCCAACGAGGCTGTGGAATAAATCCATTACCAAATACAACAGTTAGAAAGCTAATATATAAAAGTAAAAAGGAAATCCGAAATACTTTTAAATAACTATTACTAATAGTCATAATTTAGGAACGAAAGTGTGAATATACAATATTCAAGAACGAAGGTATGGATCTACAATATTCGTAAAAAGAAAGTATGAATCTATTTTAAAAAATTTAAGAGGAAGGTATGAATATACAATATTCAATTGATTTAAGAACGAAGTATGAATATACAATACTCAAGTAATTTAAGAACAAAAGTATGAATATATAATGTTCAAGAAACTTTCTGTTTCAAGTAGACGAAAGACAATACCGATACATACCAATACTGATACGTGCGAACTTGGTGAACAATACGTAAAACGTGCTTGTCTCACCATCCTAATTATATGTAATTTATTATCTCAATCGGTATTTGTTTGCGTTTGTGACAAAATTATTCAACGCATGAAACTGCTGAATTTGGGTTAGATTAAATGTACAACAACGGCGCAATGGTAAATCAAAAATGGAAAGGGTGAATTTGTATAAAAGAACTTGTAGTGAAACTAGAGTAGGAGGTGTAAAGAGTGAAGGGTTCTTAAAAGATATATATATAAAGCATATTTTGTAAAAACATTTCATTTGACGAAGCATATACGGTTAAACCTCGATATAACGAAGTGGTCGGGGGCTATTAGTAAAAAATTTTTAAAAATTCGGCTATCAAGGTTTCATTTAGTAAATTCGGTTTATCGAGGTGGATTTACCATAAACCGTTTCTGGAACCAACTTCGGTTTACCCAGTGTTTATTAATGCTTCGTTATATCGAGATTCGTTATACGTATCGAAGTTCGACTGTACTTGATTGCATTTATCATTAAATATTGGAATAAGAATATATTGAATGACTTGCATACAAACACTGAAACATTAGGAGTGCAGATTTATGGTAGAGTTCCAACCCTATATTATGTTACAGCTACAGCGTATCTAGGTTGCATCTTTTCATGAAAAATGAATAATTATTGTATAGCCATTTAGATGCCGATCGAATGTTACACTACAGTAAACATACATGTATTACGTACATACGTAGCATACATTTAAAAATACATGTATGAGAAATGTGGATTTTCTTTAATAGGGACCATTTTTATTGCACGGTTACGGTTATATCTCTTAATTCTAACTCCAATTTTTTTATAGCAAGTTTGGAATCGGGAAATGATCGGCAATGTAGATCAAAAAATTTGGAGTGACTTCTCTTTAAATAAACTACGATAAAAATATCGATATATCATTTTATTCGGCAAAAGTAGTGCTATCCATACATATATTTTAATATCGGGTTGGATACCCATTTGCATCAATCACAGCTTGCGCATACTTTAAGCAAAATTTTTTAAAATTTCCAGTTCGATTTTTCCATTCCTCTGCAAGTGCATCCATCAATTCTTGATTTTTGGGATAAATTGGTTTCGTCTTTCCAAAATATCTCATAAATGCTCAATTGGATTTAGATCAGGACTCTGGGCAGGTCATGGAAGTGAAGTTATTAGATTTCTCTCTT